CAAACTCTTCTCAGGGGTGGCCAGTGGTAGGAAAAGGGGTAATGGGTACAAGGTGAAACACAGGAAGCTCCATCCCCATGTGAGAAAGAACTTTTTATGAGGGTGACAGAGCCCTGGAACAGGCTGCCCAGAGAGGTTGTGGAGTCTCCTTCTCTGGACATCTTCCAAATCCACCTGGATGGGACCCTGTGCCCCGTCGTCTAGGTGTCCCTGCTGGAGCAGAGGGGTTGGACTAGATGATCTCTAGAGGTCCCTTCCAACCTCAATCATTCTGTGATTCTGTGGGATGTGCTGTGGGATCACCAGGTTGTGCCGGGACACAGATCACGAGGGGAAGCTCAGGCTGCCCCAAGGCGTTGCCAGGTCATGTCACTCCTGGCGCTGCCCAGCTCCATCCCAGCACTTTCCTGGCTGGTGTTCTTGGTTCCTCACAGCCCCGACCCAGCAGTGAAGCCTCAAACCACAGGCCACGATGGGCAGGATGAGACAAGGTCCCCTCAGCAGCCTGTGCACTGCCCTGGGTGGCATGGGGACACCCTGGACTCCATGTCAAAAGCACCACCCTCTCTTGGGAATGGGATGCACTCCCACTCTGAGCAGGGGGTGGAGGCAGGTTTCTGAGCTTCTGACTCATCCATGTGCAGAGGCTCTGCATGGAGACTCCCTGCTCTGCAGATAAATTCTCCAGCACAGCTCGCGCCCCTCCATAGAGACAGGAGACCATGGAGAGGCCCTGTGTCCTGGCCGGGCTCTTACTGTGATGGGGATTTGGGGAGGGGGAGGATGGCGGGGCAAGGATGAAGGGCCTTACACAAGGCATGTTTTGTAACACTGCGTGGATTTAAGGATTTGGATTCCACAGCATCGCTTGGCAAACAGGGCTGGGACCCCACTGCGTGGCGGGGAGAATGAGGAGGAGGAGGACACGTGACCAGGGACGAAGAGCAGGCAGGAAGAGGGGAGGGAAAACCTAGCACACATCATGTTCCTGGTGGCTGGGGACCCCAGGGGGGCCCTGCCGGCTGCCGCGGCGCTTCCCACGCTGATCCTGGTGCCAGGCTGCTGCCTCCCAGGCTGCCCTTCCTGCCAGCCCCAGGGCCGCTCATTCCCCTCCTCGTTCTGGCTGCTCCTGCCCGCAGCTGGCACGGGCATCGCCAAAGCGCCGCGGCACAGCTAAATCCTGCTGCTTACAGGCAGGTTAAACCGACACCCTGCCCCCCGCCCATGATGCCGCGGGAATTAAGGACTTTAGGGAAAGGAACCGGAGCCCCAGGGGCCCCAGCTGGGCCTGAGTGGACGCTTTGTGCTGGTGTGGCTGCAGTGCCACGTGCTGTGTGCCCTGTGTCCCCAAAGCACGTGGGCACCGTGACGGAGCTGCCACGTCCTTGGGAGCTGGGAAAGAGGTGGGAAGGCAGATTTCCCCAGGCAAACAGGCAGGGAGCCGGCTTTCCTGGCTCCCCACAGGAGCGTCGCTCCAGCTAGGAGAAAAGGCACCAGGAGAGGTGGCCCCAGAGGACACTGGCGACAGTCTGACGTCGGGGAGGGGCGGTGGGCGGTGAGGGGGCCGAGTCG